TTTATTTAGTCTTTTTCTTTTTATCTTCTTGTCTCTTCTGCCGTTTTCCCATGTTTTCTATTATTTTGTATTTTTGTTCGCTTAATTTGCGCATATTTTTTTCACATTTCATTCCACAGTTTCACTATTTTTGCCCACTGTACATCAATCTATAAAGCTTGTTATTCTCAGCGTCTATGCTCACCTTCAATTCGACTCAATTACTTGGGAAAATGCAAGGCCCAGCAGCTGCTCCTCATTTTGCTGCCTCTACATATTCCCCCCACCCCCTCTCACTCACATTCGCTTCCCCTCTCTCTCTCACCCTGTCTCTAGATATCTTTCTCTCCCTCCACCTCTCTCTCTCACTCAGAGAGTTTGTGTCTATGCCACAGGCCAAAAACTCTCTAAAAACTTTGGTACGACGTCTTGGGCTGTTGGGCTTTTGCAAGTTTCTCGTTTCTCGTTTTTCGTTTTTCATTTCATGTTTTGTTGTAATTGACATTTCAATTGATTTAAGTTGACATTAAACGGCACACATTAAATGCAGCTGTAAAACTCTGTATATAACTTTTCACAGTTTTTCATCGAGCTTTCCACAATTTTTGGTTCCCAATTGAATCAGTTATTACTTTTTGATAAATTCCGTTACACATAAAGTGTTATGAGAATTATGTTCAAGGTGACTTAAATTTAGTTAAATTTTCCGAGTGTATTATGGTGCTAAAATTAAATGTAGATACATGAATATATGTATATATATATATATATATATATATATATCATATATATATATATCATATATATATCCCAAGTCGGGGTTGTCAACAATGTTAAGTACGTTTTATCACGCAACATTGGAATTTGTGTTACTTGCGGTAAATAAACAAAACTGTTTGCAGTTATCTGCAGTTAATATATCACTTAGCCAAGACAGCTCTCTCATATGACCAACGTTTTAGGGCATGTCTACAATATAAATATGCATATACATATACATAGACATAAATAAAAATATTTTTATTTATATGTGTTCTCTATACTTTCATTTGATTGGAATATTTGATAAACTGTTACAAATTTTATACTTTTACTTTTTCTTTATTATTATTGAATAAATTTCTTAATTTAAATTAAATATTAATTTAAAGAAAAGAAAATAAAATAAAAATCAAATGTAATTTTTTAAAATTAAATCACGTGAATTTTAAATTTAAAAAAAAAATTTTAATAAATTCAGTCACATAAAATTAAAAAAATTAAATCACATGAAACTTAAATAAATTAAATAATATAAAATTTAAATTAAATAAAATTTTATTGAAACAATATATAAATAAATATATTCTATATTTATCTACAAATTCCTTCCGCCCATTTAAGCACTTGAAGAACTCAAATTAAATGAAAAAAACATTTGCAGAATGTTTCACAAATACAGTAATATAAACTTCAGCTATTTAGCATTTAATTGGCTGTGCTTTTAGCTACTTATTTAGCTTTTATCACCTACCATAGCAAACGAATTTAATCTAAGCCACATTAAATGGCTTTAACGACGGCAACCAAATTAATTGAACAATTTTTAACTTTTCAAATTAAATCGAATATGGTTAAACAGAATGAAATTTCAAATACATAAAAAAAAAAAAAGGGTAAATAAAAACAGCATTTGCTCTTGATTAAGGAAATAAATTGCAAACATCGTTCGCCAGCTCAAATGTCATAACAATTAAATGCAATTGTTTGTAAATTATATTTGTAAATCCATTAATCGCGGGGCAATGACGGACATTAAGAGAGGATGGGGGCTGGGATAGCAAACCGATAAACCGAATTAAATGAAAAACATGGAAAATGCTAAAGAAACAGTGGGCAACGCTTGAATACTCTTAATTTGTAATAAAAAAAAAAGGGAATCATAATTAGTGTTAAACTATCTATATGTATAAAATAAAATGGAATGATAAAATGTTACTAAAATGTTTGTTTAAAAATATAAAATATAATTTTTTTATAAGTAATAAAAAGGAGCTATTCGCAAATAATATACAGTAAATATTTCAACAAAAATATAATAATTAAATAAAAATAAAAAATATATAAACAAATATATTTAAAAAAAAAAATTAAAATAAAAAAATATATAAAAATTAATATAAAAATATATTACACATATAAAGAAACTAATGTAAAAAAAAAAATTAAATAAATAATAATAATAGTATTTATTCACTTAACACATTTTGAGCATTGTTTATTTGATCTGTTTTCTATTTATTTTACTTTCAATGCAGCCCTTGAATAAATATTAAAAATTTATACACAAGACAATATAATATTATTAAAAAATACTACAATTTATATTCTCTACAATATTTGGACTCAGAGCAAATAATTAGTATAAATATAGCAATTTATCTTCACTATATTATATATGACATTATCTTAAGTTATTGGGTATTAAGCAGCATAAATAAAAAAGCCCAAAATAAATCTAAACGTGACAAATTGTGAGTGTCACGGTCACGGGAATGCTTGGCTTCTGACAGAAATTTGGCAGCTATTGAAAATAAAGAAACGTATAAAGCAAATGTCTTTTTGATCTACATAGAAATATTTTAATATTCTGCTGAAGACTGGCATTTGTCTTATCATTTATTTTAAAAGTCTACTAAGGGGAGTTGACTACAAGCTAATACTGATTAAAAATAAATATATATATTTACATAGATATTCTTTAGTCGCCTATGCCACCTGTTTTATTAAATAATCTCCTCACTCACAGCATTCAAACATAAAATGCAATTAGTTTTAACTGCATATTTCTAGCTATTTTGCCGAATCTAAAATTTAATGCAGCCACTAAAAAAAACAAAAAGAAGAACAACAATTGGCTTTATAAACACGCCCAAAACTCTGCTCCTTGCAAATATATATAAGATAGGAGTGTAGATATATGAATATGTATGTATATATATTTTGTCATCATTAATCATAGCTGTAGATGGAAACGTAGCGCCAAGTGGGGCCCAGCGCAAGAGGCGACTAAATATGTATGTATGTAGCTAGGTAAATAAGCTGCATATATATCTCTAATATATAGATGTAGACACGAGTATAGGAACAGCAGCCATTACAGCAACAACAACATGATAATGGAGAACCCACATCAATTTAGCCCAAAGTCAGAATTAGTCCGTGTGGAGCCAAACTGAGCGACAGACAGAGAATGACGGCCAATAATATTTCACACCCCGTCAAGTGACCAAACATCATTAAGATGGCCTAGAAAATGCTAAATGGGCTAAAGGGGGTTGCAAGTTTACCCCAGATTGGGGCTAGGTGAGGTATTCACTGTGGTTATGGCTATCTCACTCACTCTCTCTCTCTCACTCACTCACTCTCTATGTGTCTTCGCTACGACAATGACACAAATGTTTATGACATGTAAAATGTTTGGCTAATTGTGTCCAAGTGGGTGGCTAGGTAAAGAGAGAAAGAGAGAGAGAGAGAGAGAGAGAGAGGGAGAGAAAAAAGAAATGATGAACAAGAAATATAGATAGATACCACACACACACACACACACACATACGCACACACTTAAGTGGAGAAGGGATAGGCGCCAAATTCGATCAATATTTTGACACAGTGTTGGCAAACAAGGCTCGATGGAGTGTTGCCTGAGTAGATAAGGCAAACAAATTTCAATTGATTTAAGCCAACATATGTGCGTGTTGCTCAACAGGAGTGTGTGGAGGGAGGGTGTTACTTTTATATTTATTTTAATTATTATCTATATATCACATAGGATTGCAAAACAGTTTTCTACCATTAACACTACATAGAGCTGTAAAATATGCATATTTCTTGTATTATATTATATAATATTTTGTTTGACCAGACTACAAATGTAATGCATACATAAATTAGCAGAGATTCGAAAATAATAATTGAACTAATTCTCATTCATTTAAGCAGTGTTGAATAAGGCACTACTCGATTTGATTTTGTATATATGGTGTTAAGGCCAATGCTTCAACACATTGTGCCTAAGAGTGTGAACATGAACAAAAGTTAAAATATTAATATAGATTATCTAAGTTGGCTGATGACAGTAAGTGCCTCTTGCATATATTACTATTGCATAAGGCCAACTTAGATGCAAACAAAATAATCTTCCAATGTGATATGAACATTATGCATATCAAAAATCTTGACACCACGCCCAGTGTTGGCAAGTGTCACTAAACTCCACAAACACACACATACATGTTTTCAAACACACAATATTCATTTTCATTTATTTTGCCGTTTGCAACTTTTAATGCTGAATACAAAAGAGCAAAAAAAAAAAAAAAAAGAATGAAATAGAAAATAACTGTAAACTGTAAAAGTAACTCAAAAGAAAGCAACAACAACAGCAAGCAGCACTTGAGCCAAATGGAGCGAACGCTCACACAACAACAACAAGAGCAACAACAACAACAACAACAACAGCAGCAGCAGCAACAACAACAAAATGGAAAGCAAAACACAACGGGCACAGGCAATGTGAAGTTTTGTGTCTGTTTATGCACAGGAAGAGGGCGAGAGAGAAGCGGCAGAAAGGCGAAGAGTGCAAACGGGAAGAGAGTGGAACATTGAAACGAAACAAGCTTTGGCAAACAGCCGCAGCAGCAGCAGCAGCGGCAGAGGCAGAGACAGAGGCAGCAGCAACAGCAGCAGACGAAATGTGGCTGCCGGCGGCTAACAGCAACAATTTTCAGTGACAGCCGCCCCGGCTCGTTCTCTCTCTCCCTCTCTCTCTCTCTCCCTCTCTCTCTCTCTCTCTCTCTCTCTCTCTCTCTCTCTCTCTCTCTCTCTCTCTCTTGCGCTACCACTCCCGCTTTCCTCCACGCTGACCTCTTTCTCTCTGCAGTTTTGAAGAGCGCCAACATAAGGTCGCCGCGACGGGTTGCCAAATGTTTTGCATTTTGATTCCCTTGGGCTCTTTCAACAACTACCTCAACGCCAGTCGCACAAGTCATTTTGCTTCTTTGATGAGTGGGTGGCCCCCAACCCAAGCCAACCCATATCCAAATACACGAATGGAGCAGCCATGTGGACTCCCTGCGCTTTGGGAGCTTTGCCGTTGAGCAATTTGATGACTTTTTAATTGGTTGTTGTTGTATATTTTTGTAATTTTTTTTCCTACTTTTACAAGATTTGGGGGATTGTATATCGCAGCAGGTACATATATATGCACATACATAAATACATATGTATATTCATCATGCCTGGGAAAAATCACCGTTGCCAAGTAAATATATTTGCAAAAAATTACATAAAAAGGAAAGTCAAAAATTAAATAAATAACCAGGTCATTTACATTATTATTTCAGTTAATTAACAGCGCAATAAAATGCAACAGCTTAAATGTAGTTAAGCTAATAAGAAACTAATAAGAACAAATAACAGTGCATAGCGTAAGAAACAGAAAATCTCTACAGCAATGCTGTTCCTGCTTTAACATAACACAAAAGTCTACACTCTCTACACTCACGCTCTCTCCCTTTCTCTCGTTACTCTTCCCCTAATAACAACATTTTTGCACATGCTTAACATACAAATAAGATCCACAGCTAATGCCATAGCTGAAATTTCATTAAGCGCACAAGTCAAAGGCATAACTGCACACATACGTACATGCGTACATCAATGCACACACATGCACACATACATATGTGTGTGTATTTACTTAATTGTCCCACTGCTGGCTGCATAAGTAAGCATAAGATAAAGGGAGCGCGGCGCCACACACTGTTATTGCTATCGCCTTTTATTTTCATTTTTTGCTGCTGTTATTTACGGCAAACTGTCATCAGTGTCAACAACAGCAGCAGTAGCAGTAGCAACAGACATTGGCGGCCGCTGTCGTTTGCTCATTTGTCTACAAAAAAAAAAGAAAAAGAAAAACAAGAAGCCCAGCATAGAGCAACGGCCAAGCAGACAGACGTCAAACAGTTTTTGGGGCAAAAGAAAACGAAAAAACAAAAATTAATCACACAACAACAACACAAGCCGAAGAGCGTGTGCCGACGCACGGCTGCTGCTGACGTTACGAAGCTGGCGTCGCTGCCAGCGTCGCGACGCTGCCGCCACTGGAAATGTGTTACAGAGTGTTCTACAGCTGTGAGCTGTGCCTGTCTGCGTCTCTCTGCATGTCTGTCTGTCTGTCTCTTTTTCGCCTCTTGTCGGTCACTTCGTTTTAAGTTCATTATAAGTGCGTTGCCGAATAAATTGCAAGCAAGTGTGTGTGTGTGTGAGTGTGTGTCCGAGACTGTCAAACTGTAAACTTTATTATGCTGACCAGCGGCTTCAAACTGTAGCAACATTTACAACTTCTTTCACAAGTTGTTGGTGTTGCTGAAGCAAATTAAACTGGCATGCACAACTTTTGTAAAAAGCAACTGCAACTAAAAAGCAAAAACATATACAACATACAAATACATATATATGTATATATGCATTTGTAGAGTAAGAGCAGTGAAAAAAGTAGCAGGCAAAACAAGTTGATGATTCTAAGTGGTTAAAGAAGTTGAAAGTCACAAACTGGACAAAACTGTAGAGGCGCACCAGGGGCGAAGAGGCAGCCAAGAAGGTAGCGCCAGGGTATATACGTATATACATACATACATACATATATATGTATGTGGTAAGTAACAAGCAGCTGTTGACTGAAAGTTGTGCATGAAATTCTCCTGCAAGTTTCTCCATTTGCAACCAAAGTTGTATAGGAAGAAGCGCGAAAGAAAATAAAAAGCAAAAGCAAAACTACAGCCAAGAATGCGAATGAGAAGAAAAGCAGCGCCAGTCCGCTGCGGTTCTGATTAAAGCGCAGAGAGCTTCCAACTGCAAGTTGTGCCCAAGTGCGAACGAGACGGAGACTGAGAGAGAAGGTAAGAGAATCGACCGCCTAATTGAGTGAACTCTTTGGCTAAGCAAAGATACTCAGCTGTGATTTACAGTTTTAATTGTAAGCAGACTTGCCAAAGCAGGAAAAAACAACAATTGAGACGTTTTCATAATTAAAACCAGATTTGTATCAAAATGGAAGAAAGTCTCAAATACTAATTAGGAGTGTGTGTGTTTAAAGTTTATAAATTATATGATTTAAAAATTAATAATATGAAATATATACACATGAGCATATTGAATATACATATATATGTATGTATATATATATGAATATATGTTTCACTACCAAGTTTTTTGCTATATACATCCATCTTTTTCTACTCCGTCTCTTTCCTATTACATTTCTCATTGTCTCTTTTTATACAGCGCTACATCTATCGCACAGCCTCTTTATCACAACATTATTAAGCGCTGACACTCTCTATATTTCTCTTTCCACATATCTCTCTCTCACTCCCTTCACGGCAATCTCTCTCTCTCTCTCTCTCTCTCTGTTTCTCTTTCTGCTACTTTTTCCATCTCTCATCCTTATTACCTGTCTCCCTCTTTCCCGCCTCCTTCTACCTTCTATCCATTCGCCGCACTGCATACCATTTACTGTTGCTTTCAGTCAACATTAAAAATTCCGAGCCATGTCATAATCATTGTGGAATTTTCAACATCAGCAGCAGCAGCGGCATCGGCAGCAGCAGCAGCACACCTGATTTCACCTTAATGCCACATCATTTTCAACACTTCGCATTTGGCCCACGACTAAACATATATTGCGAATATATAAACAAAAACAAAAAGGCCAGAACCGAAATATCATACATGCCGTTAAAAACATTCATTATTCACACATGCATACATACATACATATGTAAATTGAGTGCAGGCCAGAAAGAGACGGCTAGATAAGAGCGGCTAACAACAATGTTCTTTTTGTGGCAGTCGAAATTATGAAAATCCTTGACCCCAATATTAAACGAGACGAAGCTACTACAACGAACCAACATTTATACATACGTACATATATTTAAATATATACATATACATACATATATAAAAGATAATGAACTCGATAAGTTTCAGTCGGTCGAATGTCTATTAAAGCCAAACGAGCTGAGCTCAGCAAAAGCAACTACAACAACAACAACAACAAGAAATCGCCGCCTCATCATGTAATGGAGAAATTTTGTTTTCATTTCTTTTGCTTTTTGCTGTGTTTCGCTCTCTTTTCGCTACACTTCTCGGGGCCAAAAGCAGAAGCCAATAACCTTGAGGCAGGTTTTTCACATGAGACAAACGACGCGACGCCTCGCACAGAATCAAAGCCAAAGACAAACAAAAAGCAAAAACAAAAACAAAAACGAAATCAAATATGATGTGTACTATGTAATAATAAAAATATAAGGTCTCTCTCTCTCTCTTTCTCTCTCTCTTTACTCTGCTGCGCTACCTTCTAAAGCTTGTACTTATTATGCAGTAGGCAGCTCGTATAGTGGGCGTGGCTGCAGGCAGTGCTATAAATGTGTCTGTGCTGCAAATACGTTGATTATAATACACACACACACACACATGCATATATATGTATGTATACATACGTGGTATAGAAGTTGAGGAAGGGACTGATTGGTTGAAGCTGAAAGCATGATCTCATTTCGAGAGTTCAGCAGAAGAACATGAACATATATCATAAGTTTAAGCTGAGACTCACTTTATGACAGATCTGAATCACATGATTTCAGTATTATCAAACATATCTACATATATTTATAGCTACTTATACATATTTCCACATCTGATCAAATACGAATTAAATATTCAGTTCCCGTTACTTCAGAAAAATAAAATAAATAAGTAACAATGAATCAGATTTGAAAGTTATATGGGGAATGTGGAACTATAAAAGACAAAATATAAGGAGTAAATACATCTTAAGGAATTAGTCAGAAATTTCTAAAGAAATAGCGTATATATGTATATTTTACATATAACATCTGCAGCGAAATTGAGGTGAATTATTATGGGCTTCTTGAGACTGAAAAGTGTTTTCTTTTCTTAAAGAAAAAATTGTATATATATTATTAATGTGTGTGTGTTTTTTTTTATAAATATATACTCTCGATTTAATCTCAGCTAAATGCCTCGCTATGCGTTTCTCATTAATTAATAAATCCAGGTTATTTCATCGTGCGAAAAAAATGAAAGAAAGATTCGAGTTACAACTCTGTCAGAGTTACGGATATTTTGCACGAAAACAAAATAATTTCTAGGTCATTGACAGAAAGAAATTCCATTACTTGGCCTAAACGGCCTACGCACACACAAACACACACACACACAAACACACACACACACACACACAAAGATATATATTCTGCTTGATATTGTTGCTGTCGAAGAACATTAATCATTGCCAGTTAAACAATAAGAGCCACAAACAAGTGGCATGTGGCATGGGCAACGGAGAGACGGTGCCCATATTGTGTGTACATAAGAAAAGTGAAACCCAATGACTGTCAAACTGCTTGGCCTGTGCGTGTGACGAACAATGATGAACAAGCACAGCCAGACAGAGAGGCAGAGGAAGACAGAGATAGAGAGAAAAAGGGAGCGAAAATTAGAAAGACTGTGTGTGATTGGTGTAGGGGGATGAATGAAAATAAAGCTTTGCTGGAGTACAGCCTGTTGAAAAGGTCAAAGTTGATGACACAACAAGAATTGGTTAAGTGTTCTTTTTGCTTTTAGCCAAATTGTGGGTTAAATGCCCTTCACGAAGCGCCACTGGAAGACAGTGAAAATGAGCTAGAAAATGAATATCAGATATACAGGGTTCAAGCGTGAACAATATCATATAGATTAAAGATAAGCAAGGAGCCTCAATCAAAGTGGAAATGGAGCTTATAAAGGAAAGTAAAACTGTCAAAGAGCAGTATGTGTTTTAAATATATACATATATCGAGAAAATATATAGGAGCAAAGTTATATCATATGAGTATGGAAGAGACTCCTTATCATTCAGACAAATTAAAAACTGAATATGTATAGAACATAATTTATTGCCTGACAACATCAAAAAGTAGTAATGCAATAAATTTAGAATCAATAAATGTATCGATCAAAGTAAGCTGAATTATTGTGTCAATCTGTGTTTAAATCAAAAATATAAAAATGCAAAAATATTCTGCAATAATAATCTAAGCTTAAAAAAAAACTATTCAAATAAAAATATAAATCTACTACGAATATTTACCCACATCATTCAAGTCAATGGAAGGAACGTCTGATATAGTATTATCATAAAGCTTTTTCATAAAACACATAATATATCGATTCATGTTCGGGCTTAAGAACTATTTGCGTACGAAAATAAATTTAAAAAATCAATATTCTATTATCTAAAGTTATAGATCTGCAACAGAAACGGAATTGAAATCGATAAATGTATCGATAAATTTTAAGGTACTATCCAAGAAGAAATTTATGCTATCCAACTAAAGCTCTTTTATAAAATATTTGAATCGTGTTTTATATTATTATCTTCATTGCTAAAAACAAATGCTTTGAGCTCAACATAACGGTTCTTTAAATCAAATGAACATGATAGCACTTGATTCGAATGCCAACTTATAAACGCTACAATGTTTACGCCAAGCATAACAAACTTGTTGACCAGATTGTCAAGACACACGCCCCGCTTTAGGGCATTAAAATTGTTAAGAGAAGGTCGACATTTATGTGTCGAAGGTTGATGAGTGTCAGCGGAGACGGTGTCAGAACAGCAGCACATAGAGAGAGAGAGAGAGAGTGTGTGAGAGAGCGAGAGAGAGCCAGAATGGGTGGTAGAGAGCGCTGGCGGATTGCAGACTAAAGAATGCGGCGACCCTTTTAATAAGCAGCGTCGTCAGTTTTCAAACACGGTCCGGGTTCGGGTCCGGGTCAGAAAAATGCCATAAACGTCATCGGGCGAGCGAATGCGGCTCGTAAACTTTAAGCTTTTGTTTGTTTCTATGGCTTGAAGAGAATGAAATGAGCTACGACATCTACGAGGGGGTGCTTGGTGCTTGGGTTCGCAAAAAGTGAAATCTATAATAAAATTTTTCATTTTACACTTTTCATTTTGGATCGCGCGCGCGCGCTAAAGACAATGTCAATGTTTTATCTACCGACTTTTCGCACGCAGTTAAAATTTTCAGTGTTTTTTTTTTTTTTAGCCCCCTTCTTAATTTTCCTCAAGTCGATTTTTAGTGACTCGTCATAAATTTCCAGTCAAGTTGCTTTATCAATGCAACACGCAACGGAACTCACCGACTCGCACATAACTTTCGCTTGAACGACCAGCAATTGGAATTATAAACTCAGGCATCATATATACAAATACATATGTTGTATATGTATGTGTGTATATTATGGGGGTATGAATTATAAAACTGGGTACTACTTAACACTCACGCTGCAGCGAGAAAGTCGTTTATTTATTCAGAAATGCGCTCTTGACTCACCTGCAAAGAGATAAGAGTAAAAACAAAATTAGTTAATATTAATAATAATATAATAATGATAATAATAATAATAATAATAATAATAATAATAATAATAATAAATTATAAAAGAAGTAAGAACGTTGCAATCGGGCTTAACTAACTGCATAATACTCATTCAAGTCAATGAAAGCCCGAGATGGTAAAGTGCGAAAAACCCTTATACTCATTTAAAAATTTAAAATTATATATATATAGAAAATAAAAACATCGTGATACAATCGGGGGTTTCTACGCGGACTCTTGGATGCATCCAATGCAAGTATATACACACATATCAAACTTATAAAGCAAACTTATATATCATTTATTATATATATATCACTATCTAATATAATATCTAAGGCTCAACAATATGCAAATTTATTTCGCAGTTTGATTTTGTTTTTCTGCCCCTCTTATGCGCTTAGTGAAAGGAACTTCGTTCGATGTTGTTATGTAAAGTCTGATAAAAAAAAATTGCATATTTAATTAGCAGTTGATGACGCAAATCGCTTTGTGTTTTATATTTTATTGGTGGAGCGAATCAAAATGTTAACCTTTTTTCACCAAAGTAACTAATTTTATTATGTATAAAATTATAGAACTGGAACTGTGTTGTAATAGATATTATAGATATCATATTTTAATAACTTTTTTCTTTATCTTGGTTCCAATTTCTCTGCATCGCTATGAAAAACTGGTTTGAATTAAGCGGAACTGTCTATTTAAGAGTGATTTTTAATTGGGATTGAAAACTTATTTTCAAGCTTTCCAATAATGAAAGTTGTACGGATAATGAGGATAATACGAAAGTCTACTTTGATTATTATATTGATTGATTATTATATATTATGTATATAGAGTCTCAAAATAACAAATAGGCAACTCTATTTCACACAATTTTTCGAATAACTCCCAATCTTATCTATGAATTGAGCTTAAATTATAAACAAACGTACGTACATTACAAATCGGATAAAACCACACGAGTTTGAGCTAATATATAATATATTGTATCTACGCCCTATGTGGGGTAGAGCTAGCTATAGCTATATACGTATGTATTCCACAAATGAATCACTATCAAGCTACTCCATAATTAAATCTATAAATATATTTATCATTATGCAGTCATTTCTTGATTATTTATTTATAAAATAACCCAGAAAGCATTTAATTATATTAACAGTATATAAACTCAACTAAACAATAATAAAATTGCTTTCCACTTCAAAAAAAAAAAAAAAAAAAAAAAAAAAAAATAAGTTTTAATAAATCTAGTTAATTTATACATATACTATTTATAATATTATAAACTAATCGTAGAACTGTATCGCTAGCTGAAGAAACATCTATAATTCACTCCGCCAGCAGTTGAAACATAAACAGCTATTTAAAAAGAAAAAAAAAAAAAAAAAAAAAAAAAAAAAAAAACATAAATATATACAAATACTATACACATATAAGGTAAATAAATGTTTATTTTGCCAAGCTGATATGAGCAATAAAAACATAGCCTTTCATTAATTAAACCAATTATTTGGTCAAAGAGAATGCAAAGTTATAAAAAATCAGCGAAAAGAGGACATGCAAAAAAAAATGAAATAACACAGAGTAAAACAAATAAAATGAATGCCCAAAAGAAAAAGAGACAAATGCAAAAAGTGAAAAAGATAGACAGATATCATAAAAAGTCAGCAAGGGAATATATAGTATATATACATACATATATAGTATACGTAGTAGATATATACACATATAAAAAGAGAACCAGTGGCGGCCGCTACTATATAGAGTTTTGCGGTTAACCCGCAATTAAATGGTATTCTAGTGAACTGAACGTGGTTTGGTACATGTGCTTTCAGTTGAACCCATTTAGATTATGCATACACACATATGCATATATATACACACATACATACATACATAATAAAATACATATAGTACTCTATAAGCAATTTCAATCTAAACATTTTTCTTTTTCGTAACCACAAACTGATAAGCGATTGTATAATACGTGTGTGCATGTGTGTGTGTGTGCCTGTGTGTGTGTGTGTGTGCTTGCGTCTGGGGCACAAACTCGCAATCTTTGACAACTTATCAGCGAGTGCAAATAAAAACACAGAAGCTATGTATATACACAATCGCCCAGATATAGGCGCTATATGAACAGCTATAGCTATAGTCAGCTATAAAGAGCCCACCCGAGTTTTACGCAAAAGCCAAAACAAAAACCAAATTCGCTTTACCTTGGACTTTGTCGACCCAAATTTTTAACTGGAATTTCGTTTTCTTTTTACTACTTTGAATTAAAGACATATATACATAGATATAGATAGATAGATAAAAAATTTTATCTGCCTGAAGCTTTATGCAGATGCAAATGTGCTGATTTTAGTCTATAAAATTCAGGAATGGAAAGGAAATTAAATCATTGCTATCAGTTATATATTTTCATTTGTCATTTCATCATTTTCCATCAACATTTTCATACTTCACTCTGCCCTCTGCCAGCTCCTCTTTCTCTACTGTGGACTAATTTTTTGCTCTATTTTAAATTTTATTGATCAAACTGCGTAGGCAACAACAATAACAACAAGGGCAACCACATTTTTATACCCTACTAAAGCCATTAAAATTAGGCAAATTGGTTAGAGGTTCCAGTTTTTTATTGTGCAATGAAGAAAACAGCAATGTTTAAGGTATATCCTAACGTCTCCTAAATCTAGACGAAATTAATAATTATAATCAATAATAATAATATTTACTAGTATCAATTAGTTCAAGTAATAATAATGTATAATAATTACGACTAATTATAATATTGACTATCAACACAATGGATAAATCAATATTATTTTTTAGCAATTGAGGTAGGTAAAAAAAGACGTAGAGTTCCGTCTCATCGCTCTCTTTCATTCTCTCTCTCTTTCACTTTCATTCTCGATCCCTATCCCTACCTATCTGTCTATCCCTATCTCCCTCTCTATCTATATCTCTCTTTATCTCAATCTCAATCTCAATCTATATCTATATCTATATCCTTATCTATATCTATATCTATATCTATATCTATATCTATATCTATATCTATATCTATATCTATATCTATATCTATATCTATATCTATATCTATATCTATATCTATATCTATATCCTTATCTATATCTATATCTATATCTATATCTATATCTATATCTATATCTATATCTATATCTATATCTATATCTATATCTATATCTATATCTATATCTATATCTATATCTATATCTATATCTATATCTATATCTATATCTATATCTATATCTATATCTATATCTATATCTATATCTATCTCAATTAGTCCTATGCCCTCTCTCTCTCTCTCTCTCTATCAATATCTCTCTGCGTCTCTGTCCCTATCTAGTTCTTTCTTACTCTCTATATTTCACTCTGTCTCTCCGACTCTTTTAACATGGACCTTCTATGTGCTCAACTAGCTCTTGCGTCTACTATCATCACAATACTCATCAATATTCATAGTTATCATGATGACCTTCTATCGCAATGCTGAAATTTCTATTGATCATAAATATGATAATAATATAGATAATAATGATGACAACATATGCATCGCTAATGCTACAAACAGACTGATAATGATAATATTAATAACGATGGTAGTTAATCATAGTAATAATAATAATAATGATCATAAATATTATGCTGATTGTAGCTGTCTGATTTTCTTCAAGTTATGCACTCAGCAGAAGAGCTCTTTAGCACGCTTCAACAATTTTTTGCATACAATTTTGTAGATCCATAAGCGGTTTATCAGGTATATACATATGTCAATATGTATGCATATGTATGTATATATGTATGCATGTCTGTATACACATCTTTCATTTTCATGTTCAAGTTGTATTTTTGCATTTCGGATTCGAAACATTTATTTCACTTTCGCACTTCTCGTTCGCTCTGACCTTGTTTCATGTGCTCCATTTATTTATTGTTGATTTTGGTGTTGTTGTTGTCGTTGTATTACTTGCGCTCACGCACACAATACAAAAACAAGTAAAAGTAATTTAAACTAGATAATAAATTGCTTGTTAACAATTTAGCCAAAGTGAAATTCATGAGAATCGCAGAGAGCGGCAAGCAATAAATATTAGTTTTCGATTTAAATAAAAAAAAATTGAATTCTATTGCGGCTTGTTATACAACACTAAAAAGTTGACAGCTGTCAGAATAGATGCGCCAGATGGCCCACATGGCAAAAAGAAAACTGAAAAACCATTGAAAAAATCAAATCAACAAACTGAAACAACAACACGAATTAGACAAAACAATGGGCGAGAGCCCAAAATTTAGGCCAAAGACAAACAAAAGCAGCTACCAAATTGCATTAGGCCAAATCACAGTTGAAAACTTTTGAAGCATGAACAAAAAAAAAAAAAAAAGGAGAAGGTAACAGAAGGCAAAAAAAAAAAAGAGAAAAAAACTGCTAAAAGCTCGAAAAGCAAAAAAAGAAAAACGAAACATGTTTGCGGCAATACAAGCAAAACATAAACTAAATAAAATCGCAACAACAACAGCAACAGCAGGAGAACAACCTTGACAACAATTAAGACACACGCACGCACTCACACACACACACACACACACATGTGTCTAGAGGGAAGCTCGCGTTTAAAAACGCGCGCGTGCAAAAACGCAGCAAAAGTCGCGCCTCCGAGGTAATCAATCACTGTAAGCGCTTTCAAACGCAGTCAAGACAAGGACAGCGCCAGCGGGCAAGAGTGTGAGTGAGAGAGAAGAAAAGCTCAACTGAGATGGCTAGAGAGAGAGTATATGGGCGTGAGTGTGTGTGTGTGCGTGTAATTGGTATTGATAAATTAAGTAAGCAAAGTGTGTCGAGCACCAGAAGCTTGTTTAATGAACCGCAGCAGAAGCAAATGGCGAAAAAAGAAGCCAAAAACAAATGCGACACAGAAAGA